AAAAGAACCAAGCTCAGAGAACCCCAAGGACTCCACAGTTCAACCCTGAGCTACACATATTCGCTTCTTTGAAATCTTTATACTTTAGCATTTTAGTCTCAGCATTGAGCTTCCTCCCCTGGCAGTTTTCTGTTTTTCATTATTATTGTATTGTTGAAGGCTTTCACGGCCGGCATACGATGGCTGGTGTGGGTCTTCCGGGCTGTGTGGCCGTGTTCTGGAAGTTTTGTTTCCTAACGTTCGCCAGCACCTGTGACCGACATCTTCTGAAGATGTCATCATCATCATTTATTATGGTCTTGATATTACTAATGATATTCTCATTTTTCCCCTCTGTTACAATCTGTTTGCATTTATTTAGAAGATAGTATTCCCATTTGTGTATTTGGGCAAAACCTGAACTGAAGAAAATGGCGATTCTCTAATAGTTTCCTTGATTCTGTATTTACTTCTGCTTTTGATATTTTGGACTATGTACCTTTCCTGCTCTACTTCCTGAGCTTTTCCTACTGTTTATATTTAATCCTCTGAGTTTTTTTTTTAATTCTGTCATAAAATTAAAAAAACAATTGTGGAGTTGGAAGGGGCCACAAAGATCATCTGGTCCAACCCTCTGCAATGTACAGGAAAAGCAATTAAACCTTCCTCAAGAGCTCAAGATGGCTACCCAACACCCCTCCTCCTATTTTCCCACATGACAACTCTATGAGGTAGTTTGGGCTGAAAGAGATTAACCAGCCTAAAGTCACCGTGTGACCTTTAAGAGGTAAAGGATGGTCTCAAATCCAGGTTTTCCTGCTTCTAGTTCAGTACCTTAACCTCTACTCCACACTGGCTCACTTAATTGCTTGATTCTGTCTTACATTGGAGTTCCTAGTAGAGCCAAATCTTTTTTCACCTGAGAATGATTTCACTTTAAAAATGGAAATGCTGTGTATCTAAGATGGAAAAGGATACTTCAGCAATCTGTTGTGTAACTAATAAAACACCAGCTTCTCTAAGATAGAGTGCCTTCCCGCGGGAGCAAACTGTGGAAGAAAAGCTTTGCAAGGACCAGCTTGAGCTCTCCCTTCCCTGCGTTTTCTCTCCTGGGGTTTTAAGGTAGCCTGAAGAGCACTGCACCACATCTGGATTCCAATTATAAAAGGAAAGTGCTGAGAGTACCAGAGTGGGTGTGCTGGGAGTAATATCTGCACTGTGTGGGAGAGCAGAAGGGAAGAATTTGCAGCCAAGGGAGAGGAGCAGCTGTCAGCTCAACACGCAATTGATAGCAAGGGAGGAGCAGGCTTGGACTTCACCAAACCAGAAGACAAGCTGGAAGGAGAAGCAGAGCCCAGCGGCGTCACTGAGAAGCTCCAGCCAGGTGCCAGCAGCTGGTAAAGCCCCTTCCTTTTCTCACCCCAGCACAGCTGAGAAACTGCCAAGCCAACGCTTCAGCACCAGTTTGGAACAGCAGTAGAAGCCAACTTGAAGGTGGCTAAATGCTTTGGTGCAAGCTCAGGCAACCAATAGGCTGTTTAGGAATAAGACAGGCGTAGACATAAACGCTGGCATGGGTATAGAGTAAGATAGCATAGGGTTAGCGTACAGAATAACAAGGGTTGCTTCCAACAGGTCTCCTTTAAGAACTGGCCATAAATCCTCCCTTTCACCTGCAGCAAATGACTCTTCAGTTGTCTAAGTTAATGATTGGCGTTTGATTGACTACTGCTCTACCTTTCAGAGGTTTATGATTCTTCCCCTTAGTAACTGTTTTTTCAGCAGCTCCGGAAAGGGACAATTTGGACTCAGAGATTGTTTGACGAGGCTGGGCCGGCCTGAGCTGATGTAAAGTAAGGAATTTGCCTCGCTTGAGTGGGTGTGGAAGCATAACATGCTTGGACTGCCCTGTTATGTTTTAACGTATTAATATGCGAAGATAAAGGTGCATGGCATCTTCTTGATACAGTGTTCGGAGAAGTGAGAGGGGGAAGCCGTCCCTGAGTACTTTTTAGCTCATACAGTTAGTAATAAGTGGTAAGGTAAAAAACAAGTTTCCTAATTTTATACAATAAAAGCCGCCTGAAAACACAGTGGAGACAAAACAGAGCCTGTCTGTCGCCGGTCTGCACCAGTTCCCCAAAGAACCCCCCCACATAAACGGTGACCCCACTGAAGGCCCCAAAAGCTGCCCCTTCCAGGCCCCAAAACGATGGGCCGGCCGAGTTCCTGAGAAAGCGCCTCCTTTTCCACACCACGAAGGCCTGGGGGGCATTTTTCTGTGGTAAGCAATCTTCCTCAGCCTCTGAGGGGAGCTTTTCCGGACTCCCTGCGTTTCTCTGAGGAGCTGATGGTCAACCGCCTGGCGCCGTTTCTCGCCTTTTCTGCGTCGACCCGAGCTGTGGGCGGCGGGGCGGGCACATCTAGCCGGGCCCGCCCGCTCCTTCGCCCCAGATGAATCGCTGAGGCGCGCTGGGCGGGAAATCCAGGCAGAACCGCGCGAGCGTCCGCCGGGCGGAGCGCACCAACTCGGCTTTCCCTCAGACCTGCAGCCACCACCGCGCAGGCGCCAGGGGGCGGGCTCAGAACGGCGGCAAGGGCGGCCGCTGATGGGCCGGCGGCGACGTCACTCACCTGGGACAGCTACGCAACTGAAGGGCGTTCCCCGGCGGGGAGGCGTCGCGAGCGGGTGATCTGCAGGCTGTTCCTTGCGGGAAACTCCCGAGGATCCTTGTTGTCGGAAAGGAAGCCAGATCTCGCAGGTCGAATATCCCATTAAGGAACTGGTTGAGGTCGACGCGTTAAGCCTTTGTATCTCAACGTTGTCAACTTTAAGACAGGTGGATTTCAACTCGCAGAATTCCATGCTGGCTGGGGAATTCTGGGAGTTGAAGTCCACCTGTCTTAAAGTTGCCAACGTTGAGAAACTGCGTTAAACACACACAGGCTTGGGGCTTTGGGTTGTTCTGAAGCCAGGGAGCCAGAACAGAGTTTGGGAAAACGGGGAATTGTTCCTGGGGGAAAGCAGTGGGTGCGAATTCAAGTTCACTAGGAGGCGTCTTTCTTTGCCCTCCCAGGCGCAGACGATGCTCTCCCTCTGGGTGATGGCGTTGACCTGGATGGTCTCCTCCAAGACCTTTTCTGCAGCGCAGGATCCGGCCCTGGAAGAGGCTTGGAGGGACTGGAAGAGGACTTACCGTAAAGTCTACGCCGAAGTGAGTTTGCTGCTGAAGGAGATGGGCACCTGGAGGAGTCTGCGAGAAGCAGGGCGAGGGCTGACGATGAAAATAGCATTGCCCTAATGCAGCGTTTCTCGACCTTGGCAGCATTGAGATGGCTGGAGTTCAACCCCCAGAATTCCCCAGCTTTAAGACGGGTTGGAGTCCGCCCGTCTTAAAGTTGCCACGGTTGAGAAGCACCGCAGGAATGTAATGCAAGCCCTGTGCTTTTTGTACATGCTTCGTGACATCCCATGAAAGGAACGGAGCTTTGGGCCCAACTCTGCATTATCCTTGTTGCCTCTATGAACACCTGTTGGGTGTTTCAGTAAATCTGTGGTACTAGGAGCTGAGTGCCTCCCGTCTGCCCTTTGGTCCTGGAAAAATAAGCTGAAACAGAAATTTTCTTAATTTTTTTGAGACTTGCACATGCAGCTAGAATTCTCCCCCACTGTACCTGGATAGGTGACTGCAAAGTCAGTGTTTTATTTTTTTCATTCAGTTTATATAGCCATCCATCTCACTTGGGTGACTCTGAGTGGCTATAAATTTCCAGCTGTTATAGAATGAAACCTATTTTGCAGTTGCTTCACTAGCTGCCAGTCGCCTGTGCAAATCAGGCTGGCTGTCATCTCTAAAACCCTAAATGATGCAACAACAGGTTGTTGATTCACTGATTTGTTATGTGCCATCAAGCCAATGTTGACTTTTAGCAACCAGGATGATCTGTCCCCAACCTGGCCCTTCAGGCTCTCCAATGGTGCACCCATCGCCACTATAATCAGGTCTGTCCATCTTGCTGCTGACTGCCCCCTTCTTCTTCCTTCTGCTTTTCCCACCTCAAGGGAGCTGGGTTTTTGCATAATGTGTCCAAAGTAGGATAGTCATGGTTGTCAGAATCCTCGCAGGATTTTATAATAGATCGTTATATGGCTAGTTTAGAAATTGCTTTTTACATGCTGCAGTTCTGCCATTGGAAAAGGGGGTGGGGAGAAGGAATGAGAAACCGTTAAAAGCAGATGGCTCCTTATCACAGGCACTGGAATGT